CAGGAAACTCCTGACTCCTTAGCACACGTAATAAACAATTGTCCATGTATCAGTTCCTCCTTAGAAAGTCATAGGCCAGTTGAGCTACTCTTACCAACCTAGCAACAGAGAAAATATCTGTAATAAATGGCTAGGAAAAGCTGAGTCATACTCCACCATGGGTCTCACCCCAGGCACTGTGCCCTAAGTATGGGAAAGGAATCCCCAATACCCACCTTCTCCCTGAGGAGAAGAGCATGTGGACCTTACTTAGGGCACACTAACTCCAAAATTCTCCACAGTTCAATTCTGGAAGGAGAAGGGATTGACTGGCATAAGTGTGTCTCTCTAGACCACAGGAAAAGTAGAAAAGTGGCAGTTTTCTGTGGGCACATGAGTGATTCTAAGGGCTTCCTCTCCCAGAAGCAGTGCAAAGAAGGGACTTAGAAAGCACAGCTTCTTGTTTCCTCTTGGACAGGTTTATGACACACTCTACAAGGGGGTTCTTGGGGGCCTGGCATCTAACTAACTTAAATCAGGGAAGTAAAGGGACAGATAAAAGTGTTAGCCCTCCAGTAGCTTGAGAAACAGATTGGTGCTTCCTGTTCCTCTTTCCCCTGCTTACCCCAGTGGTAATTCTAGGTCTATTAGTCCCTCCTGCAAGAAGTTTGCACATATACTGAGCACTATAACTTAAAGGTTTCTAACCAAGTGACTTCAGTCTAGACCTCCTACCGCTAAGTAGGTGCAAATCTATCTAGACCACAGAAAAACCTGTGCTTAGTATAGGTGCAAAAGCTCTTCCAGGGGCTTTATCTCCCAGGAACAATGCAGAGAAGCTTTAAAAATGCAGATCCCTGTTTTCCTCCAGGAGTTTATTCCACACCACACATAATGCTCCTTGACTTTTTATATTAATAACTACCTCTTGAAGGATTCCATCCTAAACCTCTCACCTCTGGGGACAGAAAGGACTAGGCATGTGTCCATCTCCCTAAATCATGGAACAAACAGGTGGTCTTAAGTGGGTGTACAGACATTTCCAGGGGCCATATCCCTTGGAGCAGTGCAGAAAAGGAACAGAAATGTACAGATCTCATTTTCTCTCTGAAAGGTCTTGGGCACACTTCCGATGACTACTTGATGATCTGGTTTCCAATGAACTGGCATCAGGGACTTGATGGAGCAAGTAAACAACACCCTTGGCAGTTAGAGCCCAGGGCTCAGTATTTCAGGAGCCTTCTCTTCAATTTACCTTTAACAAATCCTGGCCCACGCATACTTTCCTCAAAGGACTAAGGCCACTCATCAAGTTCTACAACTTCTACAGCTCCCACCCCAGAGGCCTGTTTCCTTATGACCTGGTCTGGGAGTTGATGAGGTTTTACATTCTTAGTATCTCTAGACATCAGAAAACAGAGAAGTGGATGTACAATGGGCCAACCTCCAGCAGTTCTCTGCACTAGAACAGATGCAGCCTGAGAATGAGCACAAGCATTTGCCACAGCTCCTCTCCCTGACTGACTGCAGACAGTGGGAGACAAATACATGTTTTCAGCTGTATTTTGAGAATGAAAGAAACTGGAGCACATACCAAATATCCCAGCCTTTCCAGCTACATCCAGAGTCTAGATCCTACTAGACTACTGGCCATAGGGTACTGACAGGATGTGGTACACGCCAACCTCCAGTGGAAGGGGTGAAGGAGGTACCAAAACCAAGACAGCAGTCTGTAAAAGCTCTAGCTGGGCAGATTGGTAACATTCTTCTGTATGATGCCAGTCTCACAAGGCTGTAAGAAGCAACAGTATTACCTAATGCTCAGAAGTCAACATAGAGTCAAGGAATATAAAAAAAAAAAAAAAAGGGGAAATATATTCTAGATAAAAGAACACAATAAGGCTCCAGAAACTGACCTGAGTGAAGTAGAGATATGTGAATTTTAAAAAGATCATAAAGATATTTACCATGGTCAAAAGAGCAATGCAAGAACGAACTCAGAACTGTACCAAAGAATATAAAGTACTAAACAGAAATCATAGACCTGGACAATACTAAATCTGAACTGAAAAATTCAACAGAGGGGTTCAAAAGAGACTAGATCAAAGCAGATTAGTGACCCTGAAGACAGGTCAATGGAAATCATCCAATCTGAGGATAGAAAAAAGAGTGAAACAGGGTCAGCCCCATAGCCTAGTGGCTACAGGATCCCACACAGCTGACCACGGTTTGAATCCTGGTTCTGGCATTTTGAACAACATGCTGGACAAGTGTGTGTATATGCCCTAAATCCTGACAAGACAGAGAAAGGGAGAGGAAGGAACTGTGGCATAACCATGTCTCATTAAAGAGTGCTTTCTCCCTCTCCCTTTCTATTTCTCTGGGGAGTGCACATGCCCTCTGGCAATTAAAAAAAAAAAGAAAAAGAGTAAAATAGGTTGACTTATAGGACAAGGAGAACTTATGCAGTTGGTTTCTTTTTTTGTTTTGTTTTGTTTTTCATATTCCTTGGCTCTGTGTTGGCTTCTGAGTTCCAGAGGAAAAAAAGAGTGAAAAGGACAGAAAACATATTCAAAGAAACGGCAGAAAATGTCTCTAACCTGGGGAAAGAAACAGAAAGCCAGACCCAAGAAACCTAAATGACAGCATGTGAGATGAATCCGAAGAGATTCACATCAAGACACCTTGTAATCAAAGTATCAGAAATTTAAGACAGAGTGTTGAAGGCAGCATGAAAAAAGCAAATCGTTACATCTAAAGAACCTCCATAAGACTACCAGAAACTTTGCAGAAGGGTATAGGAATACATATTCAAATTTCTGAAGGAAAAAACTGCCAGTGAAGAATACTATATCCAGCACCCTGTCTTTCAACAATGACGGGGTAATAAAGAATTTCTCGAAAAAGCCAAAGCTGACAGTTTATCACCACTATATCTGCCTTAAAAGAAAGGATAAAGGATTCCCTTGTAAGATGAAGTAAGAGGACCCCATTAGTAACATGAATACAAATGAAGGTATAAGACAATATAAAAGAAAGTACATTGTCAAATTCAAAACCCTCTAATGTTGTAACAGCAATGTGTAAATCAATTATATCTCTAGAATAAAGCTTAAAAGTCAAAACTATTAAAAATAACTAAAACCTCAATAAGTTGTTAAGGGTTACAAATTACAAGAAAAGTAAAATGTGACATCAGACATATAAAGCAGAGGAAGAGAAAAAAATAAAATTTGTATGTGATAA